CTGGGGTCCCCGAGGTGTCCCCTGGGGTCCCTGAGGTGTCCCCATGGCCATCAGGATTTGAGGTGTCCTGTGGTTTCCCTGAGCTGTCCCCATGTCTGGTGGCCTCCCAAAGCGTCCCTTCCCGAGCTGTCCCCCCAGAACCCCGCCCGGCGCTCGCGGTGACGTGCCCGTGTCACTGCTGTCCCCTCAGGACACCTTCCAGGACTACCAGGAGATGTTCATCCAGTTTGGCTACGTGGTGCTCTTCTCCTCGGCCTTCCCGCTGGCGGCCGCCTGCGCGCTGCTCAACAACGTGCTGGAGATCCGCAGCGACGCCTTCAAGCTCTGCAGCGGCCTGCAGAGACCCTTCGGGCAGCGCGTGGCCAGCATCGGCCACTGGCAGGTACGCGGGGACACGGGGACATGGGGACATGGGGACAGCATCGGCCACTGGCAGGTACGCGGGGACACGGGGACATGGGGACATGGGGACAGCAGGGACACTGGCAGGTACGTGGGGACACGGGGACATGGGGACATGGGGACACAGGGACACAGGGCCAGCATCGACCACTGGCAGGTGGGACACGGACATGGGGACAGGGGGAACATGGGGACATGGGGACACTGGCAGGTGGGGCACGGGGGCAGCAGGGACATTGGGGACACTGGGGCCAGCAGGGACACGGGGGACACCGGGCCAGCAGGGACATTGGGGACACCGGGGCCAGCAGGGCCAGCAGGGACACCGGGCCAGCAGGGCCAGCAGGGACACGGGGACACCGGGCCAGCAGGGACAGCAGGGCCAGCAGGGCCAGCAGGGACACCGGGGACACGGGGGACATTGGGGACACGGGGCCAGCAGCAGACCGGGGCTCTGTCCCCTGGGCTGGCACAGAAGTGGCGTTTCCAGCGGAGCTGCTCACGGGCTCCCCGCGCCGGAGCCGAAGCTCCCGGCAGGAATTCCATCTCCAGCAGCTGACAGTTGTTAACCCACTAACAAACACTGACGAAAGAGCTTCTCTCCCTAAATAATTCAAAAAGAATTTAAAATAATAGATGAACTGAAATTGTAAATTTTATTCCTTTATCAATTAAAAATATTAAAATTTTATTAAATAGAATTATTTAATATTATTGTATAATTATTTATTATTATATTATTTATTCTATTATTATTTATAATAGAATTATTTATTATTAAATGTACTATTAATTATTATTAGTTACTATTATCAAATATTATTAATAACTATTATTTACTGTTAGTATAATAATTATTATTAATTACTATTATTAATAACTATTATTAATAACTATTATTCACCATTATTAATAGCTATTATTATTAAATATTATTAATTCCTATCACTAATAACTATTATTCTCTGTTATTATTAATAGCTATTATTATTAAATATTATTAATTCCTATCATTAATAACTATTATTCACTGTTATTATTGATAACTATTATTATTATTAAATATTATTAATTCCTATTATTAAATATTATTCACTGTTATTATTAATAACTATTATTAATAACTATTATTCACTATTATTAATAACTATTATTATTAAATATTATTAATAACTATTATTAATAACTATTATTCACTATTATTAATAACTATTATTATTAAATATTATTAATTCCTATTATTAATAACTATTATTCACTGTTATTATTGATAACTATTATTATTATTAAATATTATTAATTCCTATTATTAACTATTATTCACTGTTATTATTAATAACTATTATTGTTAAATATTATTAATTCTTATTATTAATAACTATTATTCACTGTTATTATTAATAGTTATTATTATTAAATATTATTACTTCCTATTATTAATAACTAGTATACCCATTATTAGTAACTATTATTAACTATTGCATAATAGTTATTAAACATTATTAACTACTATTAAACACTATTATTAACTATTATTAAACACTATTATTAACTACTATTAAACACTATTATTAACTATTATAATTAGACATCACTATTAAATTTCATTTCATTCTAACCACTCTTTCTTTTAATTACCCCCAACCCTTTTTCCCTCTTTAAACCTCCTTCCCCTGTCCCCAACCCCCCTCCCCACCCTAAACCCGACCGACACGCTCCGACCACGCTAATTGCCCAATTAACGGGGCCGCTGCAATTAACGCCCGCAGAAGGTGATGGAGGCCATGGGCGTGGTGGCCATCGTGGTCAACTGCTTCCTGCTGGCGCAGTGCGGGCAGCTGCAGCGCCTCTTCCCGGGGCTCAGCCCCCAGGCCGCCATCGTCTCCGTCGTGGTGCTCGAGGTACCGGGGGTGGGCTTGGGGGGCCCCGGGGGCACCCTGCTGGGGTTCGGGGTCACCCCCAGGGTCACCCTGCTGGGGTTTGGGGTCACTCTGGGTCACCCTGCTGGGGTCGAGGGTCATCCTGCTGGGGTTTGGGGTCACTCTGGGTCACCCTGCTGGGGGTTGGGGTCACCCTGCTGGGGTTTGGGGTCACCCCGGGTTCACCCTGCTGGGGGTTGGGGTCACCCTGCTGGGGTGTGGGGTGCCCCGGGGTCACCTCCAGGGTTTGGGGTCACCCCCAGGGTGACCCTGCTGGGGTTTGGGGTCCTCCAAGGGTCACCCTGCTGGGAGTTGGGGTGCCCGGGGGTCACCCTGATGGGGTTTGGGGTCACCCTGATGGGGTTTGGGGTCACCCTGCTGGGGTTCGGGGTCACCCCCAGGGTCATCCTGCTGGGGTTTGGGTTGCCCTGGGGTCACCCTGATGGGGTTTGGGGTCACCCAGGGGTCACCTCTGGGGTTTGGGGTCACCCCGGGGTCACCCTGCTGGGGGTTGGGGTGCCCAGGTTGGGTCACGGACTGGGGGCCGCGGGTGGGGATGGCTGGGGGAGTTCTGGGCTGGATGGGCCACAAATCCCTGGGGATGAAATCCCTGGGTAGGAAATCCCTGGACAATTAATGCATTCATTCCCTGGACACTGGGCCAGATTTTGGGGGAGGAAAGGGCAGATTTTGGGGTGGAAAAGGCAGATTTTGGGGTGGATTTTGGGGTAGAAGGGATGGATTTTTGGATGGAAAGGATGGGTTTTGGGATGGAAATGCTGGAGTTTCAGATGGAAGGGGCAGATTTTGGGATGCAAGGGAAGGATTTTGGGGTGGAAAGGCCGGATTTTGGGGTGGAAGGACAGGATTTCAGGAATGCCGGAATGCTGAGCTGTGTCCCCGTGTCCCCTTGTCCCCGTGTCCCCATGTCCCCGTGTCCCGTGTCCCCAGCACTTCGCCCTGCTCCTCAAGTACGTCATCCAGGTGGCCATTCCCGACATCCCGGCCTGGGTGGCCGAGGAGATGGCCAAGCTGGAGTACCAGCGCCGCGAGGCCTTCAAGGTGGGTCCTGCCAGGGTGGCGTCCCCAGGGTGTCCCCAGGGTGTCCCCACAGCGTCCCCAAGGTGTCCCCAGGGTGTCCCCAGCATCACTGGGCTCCCAGAGGTGTCCCCATAGCCAGTGGCCTCCCCAAAGTGTCCCTGGACCCAGTGACCTCCCCGAGGTGTCCCCATGCCCGGTGTCCCTTGAATGTGCCCCTAGAAGTGCCCCCTGTTGTGTCCCCATACCCAGTGTCCCCTGGCTCTGTCCCCTGGCTGTGCCCCATGCCCAGTGTCCCCTCGATGTGTCCCCTGTCTCTGTCCCCTCAATATCCCCTGGCTGTGTCCCCCGGCCACGCACCACACCCGGTGTCCCCTCCATGTCCCCTGGCTCTGTCCTCCAGCCATGCCCCATGCCCAGTGTCCCCTCGATGTCCTGGTGTCGCCTTAATGTCCCCATCGCTGTCCCCTCAGTGTCCAGTGTCTGTGTCCCCTCAGTGTCCCCATCACTGTCCCTCAATGTGGCTGTGTCCCCTCAATGTCCCTGTGGCTGTGTCCTCTTAATGTCCCCTGGCTGTGCCCCACTCCCGGAGTCCCCTCGATGTCCCAGTGTCCCCTCGATGTCCCCTCGATGTCCCCATGCCCGGTGTCCCCTCGATGTCCTGGTGTCCCCTCTATGTCCCCATGCCTGGTGTCCCCTCGATGTCCCCGTGGCTGTATCCCCTCGCTGTCCCGGTGTCCCCTCGCTGTCCCGGTGTCCCCTCGATGTCCCGGTGCCCCCTCCCAGAAGCACGAGCGGCAGGCCCAGCACCACTTCCAGCAGCAGCAGCGCCGCAAGCGCGAGGAAGAGGAGCGGCAGCGCCACGCCGAGCTCCAGGCGCGCCGCGACCGCGACCCCGCCCGCGACGAGGCCACCAAGGCCGAGGCCACCGGGCAGGACCCGGCGCACGACAAGGGCCAGGTCAAGGGGAAAAGCTCCGGCGGCTCCTCCGCGCACGGCCCCGACAAACCCAAGCGGCCGAGCTCGCTGCTGGCCACCAACAACGTGATGAAGCTGAAGCAGATCATCCCCCTGCAGGGCAAATTCCTGTCCGGGGGCACCGGCGCGGCCGGCACCGCCACCGCCAGGTCGCCGCAGTCGCCCACGGGCAGCGAGAACAAACTGCCGGGATTCCTGAGCTTCAAATTCCTCAAATCGCCCGAGACTAAGCGGGACGCGGGCACCGAGAAGGTGCAGTCGCCCACCAAGCCCTTCAACCCCGGCAAGCTCTTTAATTTCGGCAAGTCCGAGGGGCTCGGTGCCAACGGGGGCGCGGCCGGAGCGTCCCCGCAGCCCCGGGCGGGGCCCTCGGCGGACGCGGGGCCCGGGAAGGCGCATCTCAACGAGGAAGGGGCGCGGGAGGAAGCGGAGAACCGGGCGGAGGAGGAAGGCGGCGGTGCCCGGCTCTGACCGGGGGCTCCGGGGGTTCCGGGGGGGCGGGAGGAGCCGGGCGGGGGAGGAGAGCGGCGGTGCCCGGTTCCGAGCGGGGCTCCGGGGGCACGGGGAGCCGGGGAACCGGGCGGAGGAGAGCGGCGGTGCCCGGTTCCGAGCGGAGCACGGGGAACCGGGGAACCGGGCGGAGGAGGAGGAGGGCGGCAGCGCCGCGAGGCCTTCAAGGTGGGTCCTGCCAGGGTGGCGTCCCCAGGGTGTCCCCAGGGTGTCCCCACAGCGTCCCCAAGGTGTCCCCAGGGTGTCCCCAGCATCACTGGGCTCCCAGAGGTGTCCCCATAGCCAGTGGCCTCCCCAAAGTGTCCCTGGACCCAGTGACCTCCCCGAGGTGTCCCCATGCCCGGTGTCCCCTGAATGTGCCCCTCGATGTCCCCTAGATGTGCCCCCTGTTGTGTCCCCATGCTGTGTCCCCTTGATGTCCCCTGGCTGTGCCCCATGCCCAATGTCCCCTCGATGTGTCCCCTGTCTCTGTCCCCTCAATATCCCCTGGCTGTGTCCCCCGGCCACGCCCCACACCCGGTGTCCCCTCCATGTCCCCTGGCTCTGTCCTCCAGCCATGCCCCATGCCCAGTGTCCCCTCGATGTCCCGGTGTCCCCTTGATGTCCCTGTCATTGTCCCCTGGCTGTGCACCATCGACGTCCCTGGCATCACCCCATGCCCAGTGTCCCCTCCATGTCCTGGTGTCACCTTAATGTCCCCATCGCTGTCCCCTCAGTGTCCAGTGCCTGTGTCCCCTCCATGTCCCCATCACTGTCCCTCAATATGGCTGTGTCCCCTCAATGTCCCTGTGGCTGTGTCCTCTTAATGTCCCCTGGCTGTGCCCCACTCCCGGAGTCCCCTCGATGTCCCAGTGTCCCCTCGATGTCCCCTCGATGTCCCCATGCCCGGTGTCCCCTCGATGTCCTGGTGTCCCCTCTATGTCCCCATGCCTGGTGTCCCCTCGATGTCCCTGTGCCAGGGTCCCCTCTATGTCCCGGTGCCCCCTCGCTGTCCTGGTGTCCCCTCGATGTCCCCGTGGCTGTATCCCCTCGCTGTCCCGGTGCCCCCTCCATGTCCCCATGCCCCCTCGCTGTCCCAGTGTCCCCTCGCTGTCCCGGTGTCCCCTCGATGTCCCCGTGGCTGTCCCCAGAAGCACGAGCGGCAGGCCCAGCACCACTTCCAGCAGCAGCAGCGCCGCAAGCGCGAGGAAGAGGAGCGGCAGCGCCACGCCGAGCTCCAGGCGCGCCGCGACCGCGACCCCGCCCGCGACGAGGCCACCAAGGCCGAGGCCACCGGGCAGGACCCGGCGCACGACAAGGGCCAGGTCAAGGGGAAAAGCTCCGGCGGCTCCTCCGCGCACGGCCCCGACAAACCCAAGCGGCCGAGCTCGCTGCTGGCCACCAACAACGTGATGAAGCTGAAGCAGATCATCCCCCTGCAGGGCAAATTCCTGTCCGGGGGCACCGGCGCGGCCGGCACCGCCACCGCCAGGTCGCCGCAGTCGCCCACGGGCAGCGAGAACAAACTGCCGGGATTCCTGAGCTTCAAATTCCTCAAATCGCCCGAGACTAAGCGGGACGCGGGCACCGAGAAGGTGCAGTCGCCCACCAAGCCCTTCAACCCCGGCAAGCTCTTTAATTTCGGCAAGTCCGAGGGGCTCGGTGCCAACGGGGGCGCGGCCGGAGCGTCCCCGCAGCCCCGGGCGGGGCCCTCGGCGGACGCGGGGCCCGGGAAGGCGCATCTCAACGAGGAAGGGGCGCGGGAGGAAGCGGAGAACCGGGCGGAGGAGGAAGGCGGCGGTGCCCGGCTCTGACCGGGGGCTCCGGGGGTTCCGGGGGGGCGGGAGGAGCCGGGCGGGGGAGGAGAGCGGCGGTGCCCGGTTCCGAGCGGGGCTCCGGGGGCACGGGGAGCCGGGGAACCGGGCGGAGGAGAGCGGCGGTGCCCGGTTCCGAGCGGAGCACGGGGAACCGGGGAACCGGGCGGAGGAGGAGGAGGGCGGCGGTGCCCGGTTCCGAGCGGGGCTCCGGGGGCACGGGGAGCCGGGGAACTGGGCGGAGGAGAGCGGCGGTGCCCATCTCTGACCGGAGCACGGGGCGCCGGGGAACCGGGCGGAGGAGGAGGAGGGCGGCGGTGCCCGGTTCTGAGCGGGGCTCCCCCGGTTCCGGCGGTTCCGGGAGCCGCCCGGTCCCTGCTGCGAGCGGCCGTGGCCGTCGGGAGCCTCTCGCCGCCGCTCGCCCGCGGGGCCGGCCCGGGGGCCGCCAGCGCCGCGCTCCGCCCCGGTGCTCTGTGCTGTGTCCCCCCGTGTCCCCCCGGTCCCCCGGGCTGTGTCCCACCGTGTCCCCCCGGTCCCCCGGGCTGTGTCCCCCCGGGTCCCCCCGTCCCCGCCGCGCGGAGCCGCCGCCACCGCCCCGGCGGGGACAGCGGGGGAGGCCTGAGAGCGGCGGAGCCCCGGGAGCGGGCACGGCGCGAGTGATCCCTGTTCGGCCGGGACATCCCGGTGCGGCTGGAGCATCCTGAAACTTCCCAGGCTCACCGGAGGCAGTTATCCCGGTTTTCCATAGGCACCGGGGGCAGTTATCCCGGTTTGCACGGGCAGTGGGGGCAGTTATCCTGGTTTTTGGAGCATCCCGGTTTTCCACGGGCACCGGGGGCAGTTATCCCGGTTTTTGGAGCATCCCGGTTTTCCATCTGCACCGGGGGCAGTTATCCCGGTTTGCACGGGCAGTGGGGGCAGTTATCCCGGTTTTTTGAGTATCCCGGTTTTCCGTGGGCACCGGGGGCAGTTATCCCGGTTTTTTGAGTATCCCGGTTTTCCATGGGCACCGGGGGCAGTTATCCCGGTTTCCTCGGGCACCGGGGGCAGTTATCCCGGTTTTTGGAGCATCCCAAACTCTCCCACACTCCGTTTCCCCCAGAGACGCCGCGCTCCAGCCTTGGGATCCTCCGGGAGCCGCATCCCGCTCCTGGAATTCCCGGGATGCCCGGGACGAGCCCGATTCAGCCGTGCCTCAGCCCTGCTCCGCCCGCTCCCCCCGCCTGGATCCCGAATCCCGGAGATCCTTCCCGGGAGTTTTCCAGCCGGGAATGGGGCGCGTTTCCCGGGAATGCCGTGCATGGGCAGCGTTTCTTGCACTAAATCCCAACCCCGATCCCGCCGCCGGTGCCGCTTCTCCCAAATCCCAAATCCCAGCGGGACATTCCCGGCTCCAGCTCCGAATTCCCTGGAATTCTGTCGCAATAAGGGGCGGGACAAGGAGGGGACACGGGGAGGGACAATGGGGGAGGGGGTGGGAGCCGCTTCGCTGCTGCCGCGGGAAGGAATTCCGGGATTCCCGGGATTCCCTGGATCGGCTTTTCCAGCGGGATCCACGCTGGGAACGCGCTCCCTCCTTTCCCTGCTTCGCTTCGCGGGGTTGGTGGCACTTGGGGACAACCATTCCCAAAGGGAAAAATCTGGGAAAAAGAGGGAAAAGCTGGGAAAAGGGAAAACGGGGGTGGGGGTGGGGGGTGGTCCCGAGTCTCCTCCTGTTCCTCTTCCCAAAAATCAGGTTGGAATTTTTTGAGGGTTTTTTTTTTCCCCCTCCTCTTTAGAAGAATCCATGGAATTCCGAAGAATCCATGGAATTCCGAAGAATCGACGGAATTTTGGGGTTTGGGGTTTTTTTGGGATCCCAAATCGAAGCCGTTTTGCAGAGCAATAAGGGCAGGGAAATCCGGGATTCCCGAGGGAAAGGCTCCGTGTTCCTGGGAAAATCCCACCGGGATCGGGGAGGGAAATTTGGGAATGTGGGAAGGGAAACTTGGGAACTGGGGATGGAGTTCGGGAAGGGAAATTTGGGAAGGTGGGAATCGGGGAAGGGAAATTTGGGAATTGGGGATGGAATTTGGGAAGGTGGGAATCGGGGAAGGGAAATTTGGGAATTGGGGATGGAGTTTGGGAAGGTGGGAATTGGGGAAGGGAAATTGGGAATTGGGGAGGGAAATTTGGGAAGATGGGAATTGGGGAAGGGAAGGGGAAGGGAAATTTGGGAATTGGGGAGGGAAATTTGGGAAGGTAGGAATTGGGGAAGGGAAATTTGGGGATTTGGGATGGAGTTTGGGAATAGGGATGGATATCTGGGAATTCAGGGCAGAGCTTTGGGAATTGGAGATGGAGATTTGGGGATGGAATTTGGGATTGGGGATTTGGGAAAGTGGGAATGGAATCTGGGAATTTGGGATGGAGATTTGGGAATTTGGGACGGAGATCTGGGAACTGGGAATGGAATTTGGGAAGATTTGGGAATGTGGATGCAGGAGGATCCCAATCCCCCCACCTGGCCCGGAATATCCCAGAAATCCTGGGGCAGATCCCGGGAAAAGGGAGCCCTGGGAATGTTGGGAATTCCGGGAAACCGAGACCCCAAAATTCCAGGAGGCTCCGGCTCCTCATCCCACGGGATTTTCCCAAAAAACCCCGGGAATGGCTTTGATCCCATTTCCCTCTGGAGCAGAGAATTCCCAGAGGGAAAAGCCCCAAATCCGGGGAATTTTCATCCCTTTCTCAAAAAAAAAACCAACAAAAAAATCTCTGGAATTTCGGAGGAGGGAGAAATTCGGGAATGGTTTTTCCTTTGATTTTTTTTCCTTGGAGTGGGAATTCCGTGGGAATTCCAGGAAAGGAAGGAAAAGGGGGGGAGAGGGGGGGGTTTAATTTATTTCTTTTTAATTTATTTTTGTAAAATCCGCAATAAAAAAGAAATTTATTTCGACAGCTCATTTGCATCTCATTTGCATATTTGAATATTCGAATTCGGCTCCAGGATCCGGAGCAGCGTTCCCAACCTCTGGAAAAACAGGATCCAAATATTCCCAGGAGCCAGGAAAGGATGGGAAAAATCTGATTAAGTCCTCAAAATTCCATCAATTTCTTGTTGATAAAAACGTGGAATTGTTGGAAAAGAAATCCCCAGAGGAAGAATTCCGGTGAATATCCGGGATTTGAGCAGGAATTTTGGGAAAATCCAGGTTTTCCCAGCCCCGTGATCCCGGATTTTGGGTGGAAATGGAAGGATTTGAAGGGAAAATCCTGGAGCTGGGAATGACGGAGCTTCCCGGGATTTGGGAATGGCCAAAATTGGGTGGAAAATTCCCAAGAAATTCAGGATTGAGCTCTGGGAATTGCAGGAATTCCGAGAATTCCAAGCTCTGGGGGTGTTTGGGAGCAGAAACCGGGCAAAAAAACCCAGGAAAATCCCGGGATTTTGCAGATTTTGGGAATTCCAGGTTGGAAGGCACCAGGAAGTGGCAGGAGAGGATTTTTGAGGAATTTTCCAGAAGATTTCCAGAACGGGATCAAGGGAAGGGGGAAGAGCTCCTGGAATTGCAGGAAAAGCTGGGAATGAGCTGGAGGAGAGGGGGAAGGGAGATGGGAGGAAAACCCCAAATCCAGGGATTTTGGGAATGTGGGATGGGTGAGGACAGGACTCACTGCAGGGGCCCCAAAGAAATCCAGGGATGAGAATCCCAAACCCAGGGATCCCAAATCCAGGGATTTGGGGAATTTGGGATGGGATGAGGAAAGAGAGGGAATTCCAAATCCAGGAATGGGATCCAGACTCACTTCAGGGATCCCAAACCCAGGGATGGGATGAGAATCCCAAATCCAGGGATCCCAAATCCAGGGATGGGAGGAGAATCCCAAATCCAGGGATCCCAAATCCGGGGATGGGAGGAGAATCCCAAATCCAGGGATCCCAAATCCAGGGATGGGAGGAGAATTCCAAATCCAGGGATCCCAAATCCAGGGGATGGGAGGAGAATTCCAAATCCAGGGATCCCAAACCCAGGGATGGGAGGAGGAAAGGGGGATCCCAAATCCCTGGAATGGGATCAGGACAGACTCAAGGGATCCCAAAGAAATCCAAGGATGAGAACCCCAAATCCAGGGATCCCAAATCCAGGGAATTTGGGATGGGATGAGGAAAGAGAGGGAATTCCAAATCCAGGAATGGGATGAGAACCCCAAATCCAGGGATGGGATGAGAATCCCAAATCCAGGGATCCCAAATCCAGGGATGGGAGGAGAATCCCAAATCCAGGGATCCCAAATCCAGGGATGGGAGGAGAATCCCAAATCCAGGGATCCCAAATCCAGGGATGGGAGGAGAATCCCAAATCCAGGGATCCCAAATCCGGGGATGGGAGGAGAATCCCAAATCCAGGGATCCCAAATCCAGGGATGGGAGGAGAATTCCAAATCCAGGGATCCCAAATCCAGGGGATGGGAGGAGAATTCCAAATCCAGGGATCCCAAACCCAGGGATGGGAGGAGGAAAGGGGGATCCCAAATCCCTGGAATGGGATCAGGACAGACTCAAGGGATCCCAAAGAAATCCAAGGATGAGAACCCCAAATCCAGGGATCCCAAATCCAGGGAATTTGGGATGGGATGAGGAAAGAGAGGGAATTCCAAATCCAGGAATGGGATGAGAACCCCAAATCCAGGGATGGGATGAGAACCCCAAATCCAGGGATCCCAAACCCGTCCGGCTCCGGCCAATCCCGACCTTTCCCCCGGAATTCCCCATCCCTGTTTTTTTCCTGGGATAAATCCCCATTGCCGAGGTTCCCACCCCCCTTTTCCAGGGGGAAGAAAAGTGGGAATTCCAGCAGGAAGTGCCAACTCTTTAATGGAACAACATTCCCCAGCCTCGGGAACCCCGGGATCCGCCCTCCTCTCCTGGAATCCCCGGAATTCCTCCCGGACATTCCTCAAATCCGGCTCCTCCCGGAGTTCTCCAGCTGGAAATCCCAAACCAAACCAAAATCCCGGGAATTCCGCTTGTCCTTCCCCTCCCCCCACCCCCTCCCCGCCCCCCCAACACCGCATTCCAGGAATTCCAAAGTCGCTTCCATAAAAAAACCAACCAAACAAAACGAAACAAAACAAAAAATTGGGAAAAAAACGGAGGCAGAGCCAAAGTTCTGGATTGAATTCCAGTCCCAAATTCCGGGAATTCCGACCGGAGCCGTGTCCTGCTCCTGCTCCTCCCGAGCTTCTGGGGGAATTTTGGTGCTTCCCAGCCCGGAATTCCGAGGGTGGATCCGGGATTTTCCGGGAAAAGGGGAGGCAGGAACGCTCCCAGAGTCAGGGGATTGATTCTGGGAATCTCCTGGAAAAATCCCTGCGGGTTTCCCAGCAAGTGGAGGGAGAAGGAATTCCGGGATTCCCGCAGGAGTCAGCTCCTCGTGGAAAAGCAGCTGGAATTTTGGGATCATCTCGTCCTTTCCCGAGCTTCTCCACGGATCCTGAGCCTCTGGATGGTCCTGGAAAGGCGCCTGGGAATTGTCTCAATCCCGAGGATTTGGGGAGAGGGGGATGGGCTCTGCATTCCTGGAATTCCATCCTGGATTTTTCCAGCCCGGATGCCAACTTCCAGCCTGGATTCCCGAAATTCCATCCTGGATTCTGGAATTCCAGCCTGGATTCTTCCAGCGTGGATTTCTGAAATTCCATTCTGGATTCTCAAATTCCATCCTGGATTTTTCCAGCCTGGATTCCTGAAATTCCATCCTGGATTCTTCCAGCCTGGATTCCCGAAATTCCATCCTGGATTCTGGAATTCCAGCCTGGATTCTTCCAGCCTGGATTCCTGAAATTCCATCCTGGATTTTTCCAGCCTGGATTCCTGAAATTCCATCCTGGATTCTTCCAGCCTGGATTCCCGAAATTCCATCCTGGATTCTGGAATTCCAGCCTGGATTCTCAAATTCCATCCTGGATTCTTCCAGCCCGGATCCCAAATTCCATCCTGGATTCCCGAATTCCAGCCGGGATTCTCCCAGATCCGGGGCCACTCCCAGTCCTGGGAATTCCAAGCGATCCCTCGGAGAGGATCCGGCGATTCCCGGGAAAAAATCGGGATTTAAGGATCAAAGCTCCCGGATTTTCCAAAGGGAGGGGGAAAAAAATTCCGTGGATCCAGCCCCAAAAAAAATCCCGGGATCCAAATTCCCAGGGATCGGCTCCAGCCATGATTGGAGCCTGGGAAGGGGTTGGGAATTTTCTGGAAAAATGGGAAAGGCCTCAAAAATGGGAAAGGTTGGGAATATCCAAAGGGTTCCTGGGAATTTCTCAAGGGGGAAGTGAAGGGGAAAAAAATCCTGGAATTTTACAGGGAGAGGATGTGGGGAATCCTGGGAAAAGGGGATTTTTGGGAAGGGAGGAGATCCCAGAAAAAGTGGATTTTTGGGAATGAGGAATTCTGGGGTATCACAGGGAGGAGATCCCAAGAATCCCAAAAAAAAGTGGAATTAAAAAGAAGGAGTCGTTCTGGAATTCCACAAGGAGCAGATCCAAGGAATCCCAGGAAAAAGGGGATTTTGGGGAGGGAAATAAATCCCAGGAAAAGTGGATTTTTTGGGAATGAGCTCTCCTGGGAGACGACAGGAGCAAATCCCAGGAATCTCAGGAAAAAAAGGGGAATTTTGGGAATCAGGAATTCTGGGATATCCCAGGAACAGCACCCAGGAACCTCAGGAAAAAAGGCGAATTTTGGGCATCAGGAATCCTGAGGGGGGGTTTGGGGGGATTTCAGGGGTTACAGGGGCAATTCCACGGGATTTCAGGGGGGTTTGGGGGGATTTCAGGGGTTCCAGGGGGGTTTTTTGGGGGATTTCAGGGGTTCCAGAGGGATTTCAGGGGCAGACTCGCAGCACAGGGATCCCCAGTGTTCCCAAATCCCAGGACTCCTCAATCCCAGTATCCCCATTCCCAGCATTCCCACTTCACAGTATTCCCACATCCCAACATTCCCAACCCCAGCATTCCCAAACCAGATATCCCAGGAAAAAAAGGGGGAAATTTTGGGAATCAGGAATCCCGGGACATCCCAAAAAAAAAGGGCAATTTTGGGAATTAGAACCCCTAAGGACGACCAATCCTCCCTCTCCACAAAAAACCCCATAAATACAAACCAAAAACCTGGCACGCCAGGCAAATCCCGAATAAATAGGGCGGATCCCGGGAATTGCCAGGGGGCGGGGCGGGGGCGGGGCCGCGGGAAGCCGGGAAGAGCCTCGGGAATTCCGGGATCCCGGGGCTCTAGGTGTCCTCGCTCATGTCCTGGCTGCCGGTCCGGGCGATCTTGCGCGGCGGCGCCGAGTGCTCGCCCTCCAGCTCGCCCTGCTCCTGCTCGCGCTTCTTGGCCGCATTCTGCAAGCGAGGCGTCGCAGCACAGGGATCCCCAGTGTTCCCAAATCCCAGGACTCCTCAATCCCAGTATCCCCATTCCCAGCATTCCCACTTCACAGTATTCCCACATCCCAACATTCCCAACCCCAGCATTCCCAAACCCAACCATTCCCATTCTCAGCATTCCCACATTCCCATTCCCACCATTCCCATTCCCACCATTCCCAACCCCAGCATTCCCACATCCCAGCATTCCCACATCCCAGCATTCCCAATCCCAGCATTCCCATTCCCAGCATTCCCTCATCCCAACATTCCCACATCCCACCATTCCCAAACCCAGCATTCCCAAACCCAACCATTCCCACATTCCCAGCATTCCCACATCCCACCATTCCCAATCCCAGCATTCCCACATTCCCATTCCCAGCATTCCCAAACCCCACCATTCCCATTCCCACCATTCCCACATCCCCACCATTCCCAATCCCAGCATTCCCACACCATTCCCAAACTCCCCCCACACGCCCCCCTCAATCCCAATTTTCCCTCATTCCCGGGGCAGATCCATCCCAGGATTTCCTGCCTGGCATTCCCACAGGGATGAGCCAATCCCAAATTCCCAGAAAAGCTGGGAATGCTGGCTCCCCAGGGTCACCTTTTTGTCCCACTGCTGGTGGAGGTAGCGCAGGAGGATGTTTGTCTTCTCTGTCACAATAACTGGGAACAATTCCAAGGAAAAACAGGGAAAAAATTCCAGGTTTTAGGAGGATTCCAATGGGGAAGGAGGGAGGAAAAATTGGGAATTGTTGGGGGGGAAATTGGGGATAAAGAAGTGGAAAAATGGGAATAAGTAAAGGGGGAAAAGGGGAATAAATAAACAGAAAATTGGGGGTTAAAAGGGGGAATTCTGGGAATTAATAAAGGGAAAATTGGGAATAAATGAGGGGGAAATTTGGGATAAAAGAGGGGAAAGTTGGGAATAAGTAAAGGGGAAATTTGGAATAAACAGAGGGAAAACTGGGAGTAAATAAAGGGGAAATTGGGAAAAAACTGGGACTAAAAAAGGCAGAAATTTGGGATAAATAAGGAGCAAAGTTGGAATAAAAGAGGAGGAGAGTTGAGAATAAATAAAAGGAAGATTGGGAATAAATAAAGGGGAAATTGGGACTAAAAGTGGGAAAATTTGGAATTAAAAAGGGGGAAATTTGGGATTAATAAGGGGAAAATTGAGAATAAAGAGAGGGGGAAGTTGGGAATCACTAAAGGGGAAAATGGGAATTAAAAAAGGGAAAATTGGGAATTAAAAGGGGGGAAATGGGAATTAAAAAAAGGGAAAACTGGGAATTAAAAAAGGGGGAATATTGGGAATAAAGAGGGAGGCTGGGGCTGTGGGATCTGCCCGGAGAGGCCGATAAAAAACGGGATTTTCCCGGGAAAACTCACTCTGTTCCGAGGGGAATTCTCTGGTGGGCAAATACACCGAGGGGCGGCGGTTCTGGAACGGGAACGAGAGAGCAGGGGTGGGGTTGGGAATGGGATTGGGAATGGGATTGGGAATGGGAATGGTGGGATTGGGAATGGGATTGAGAATGGGAATGGTGGGATTGGGAATGGGATTGAGAATGGGAATGGTGGGATTGGGAATGGGATTGAGAATGGGAATGGTGGGATTGGGAATGGGATTGAGAATGGGAATGGTGGGATTGGGAATGGGATTGAGAATGGGAATGGTGGGATTGGGAATGGGATTGAGAATGGGAATGGTGGGATTGGGAATGGGATTGAGAATGGGAATGGTGGGATTGGGAATGGGATTGAGAATGGGAATGGTGGGATTGGGAATGGGATTGAGAATGGGAATGGTGGGATTGGGAATGGGATTGAGAATGGGAATGGTGGGATTGGGAATGGGATTGAGAATGGGAATGGTGGGATTGGGAATGGGATTGAGAATGGGAATGGTGGGATTGGGAATGGGATTGAGAATGGGAATGGTGGGATTGGGAATGGGATTGAGAATGGGAATGGTGGGATTGGGAATGGGATTGAGAATGGGAATGGTGGGATTGGGAATGGGATTGAGAATGGGAATGGTGGGATTGGGAATGGGATTGAGAATGGGAATGGTGGGATTGGGAATGGGATTGAGAATGGGAATGGTGGGATTGGGAATGGGATTGAGAATGGGAATGGTGGGATTGGGAATGGGATTGAGAATGGGAATGGTGGGATTGGGAATGGGATTGAGAATGGGAATGGTGGGATTGGGAATGGGATTGAGAATGGGAATGGTGGGATTGGGAATGGGATTGAGAATGGGAATGGTGGGATTGGGAATGGGATTGAGAATGGGAATGGTGGGATTGGGAATGGGATTGAGAATGGGAATGGTGGGATTGGGAATGGGATTGAGAATGGGAATGGGGGGATGGGGAATGAGAATAGTGGGATTTGGGAATGTTGGGATGGGGAATTCCAGGATTGTGGAATTCCAGGATTGGGGAACTCCAGGACTGGGGAATTCCAGGATAAGGGAACTCCAGGATAAGACAACTCCAGGATAAGGGAACTCCAGGATAAGGGAACTCCAGGATAAGGGAATTCCAGGATTAGGGAGCACTCACGGAGGCCTTGCAGACGGAATCCGCATGGAACCTGCTGAAGTTGCTCTTGTTGTACACCGGGAGCCCCTTCAGGAAATCTGCCTGCAGAGCCACAATTCCCAAAAAACCCCTCAGGGAACGGGCAGGGACCCCGGGAGCACTGGCCCACCCCAAACTCCGGGGGCTGAGGGGAAATTCCCGGGATTTGGGCAGCTCCAAGCTTTCCTTTCCCAGATAAAATTCCCAGCGTGATCCCAAGGCTGTAACCCCTAAACCCCCCCCCATAAAACAAATGGTTCAGCCTCATTTTAGGGGGACCCCTCACCTTAGGGTGTCCCCCATAACACAAATGGTTCGGCCCCATTTTGGGGTGATCCCTGAACCCCCCCATAAAACAAATGGTTCAGCCCAACTTTAAGTTACCCCCCACCCAAAACAAATGGTTCAACCCAACTTTAGGGTGATCCCTAATGCCTCCCAAAAAACAAATGGTTCAGCCCCATTTTAGGGGGTCCCCCCTGAACCCCATAAAACAAATGGTTCAGCCCAACTTTAGGGTGATCCCTGAACCCCCCATAAAACAAATGCTTCAGCCCAACCTTAGGGTGATTCCTGAACCCCCATAAAACAAATGGTTCAGCCCAACTTTAGGGTGATCCCTAATGTCCCCCCATAAAACAAATGGTTCAGCCCAACTTTAGGGTGTCCCCCTGAACCCCCCACCCCAAAAAATGATTCAACCCCTCCCTTAGGGTGCCCCCCACCCATATTGGGGTGCCCCAACCTCACCCCCAGCCCAAACCCCGCCCTGGGGCTCCCCTCACCCCCAAACCCCCCCCACCCCGCCCGGGTCTCCCCTCCCCGCCATCCCTGAGGGCGGGAACCCCT